AATTTGCCAAAGAAAAAAATAAACACAACGAAAATATACCTAAAACAATTATTGCAAAGAGACCTCTGGAAATTATAGCGATAGATTTTATTTCGAACTTAATCCCAAGCAACGAAGGAAGCAGACACATTTTTGTTATCACGGATATTTTCTCTAAATTTGTTACTATTTACCCATGCAGTAGAACAAACAAGAAGACAGTGAAGAAATGTTTAACTGAATACTTTATGGAATGTGGAATACCCGAAAATTGTATAATGGACAATGCAACCTATTTTAACAACAAAAATCTTAAAACGTGGCTTCAGAAAACTAAAATAAAACCTATTTTTACAAGCATTAGACATCCATGTTCAAATCCAGCTGAGAGAGCAATTAAAGAAGTAATAAAACATTTAAGAATATTGGTATATTTTGAACAAAGACTATGGGAACAAAACTTAGCAAAACTGCAATACTATATGAACAATACACCTAATACTGTTACGGAAATATCACCCATTACATTAATGAAAGGTGAATATCCAAAAAGACCTTGGGAATTTGAAAACAAAGAAGCTTATGATACACTACTACGAAAAGCAAAAATTAATATAGAGAAAAATGCAGCGAAATATCTAAAAAGAAAGCAGAAAAAGCAAAAGCAGAGGGTTACCTTTAATTATGGTGATTTGGTACTGTTGAAAGCTTTAAGAGTCCCAGACAAAAGTAAAGACATCTGCGCCAAACTGTTACTAAAACAGGAAGGTCCATATCGTATCCTCACAGAAAACGGAGTGAACAGCTACGAATTAGGACATCCAGATACAGGGGAATCTCGGGGAATATTTAATGTACAGCAACTATATAAGTTTCATCATGAGGAAAATACCTAAAATGTATATAAAATGATTAGTTTGTTGGCAATAAACAATAAATAATAAGGTTAATAGTACGAATATTAGTAAAATTTATTGAACTTTTCTTTTCATTACACTACAAGAAAAGATCCAATAAGATTTTAGGGAATGTTGAAATGGAATAATCAAATTTTAATTCTTAAGTTAGGACACACTGTATACTAGGACAGCTAGTATGAGGATTTTATGAACAATGTGAAACATAACTGTCAAAATCAATAACAAATAAGTTATAAATTAACAATATAAAAATAATTAATTTCACAGGAGTTATTCTGAAAAATAATATTAAAAACAACCCATAACAGAATTAAAAATAAACTAGCCACAAGATAATTAAAATAACTATGGGAATAAAAAAAAAAAGTCGTTTTTTGACTAACAAAAAAGTAAACATGCGAACTTATCTTTATTTGTTCTTTTTGTTCTCTGATACTCTGATTGGGAATCTTAGCAACGGGTAACCAAGGGGGTTGTTGATAGGGAGATGGAAAATGGGGACTTTTCGGCTGGTTTTCCTTTGTAAAACTTTGTATAAAATTGTAACAATATCCCATGTCTGGAGCAGTGGAATCCTGCAAGTATTAAAATATTCTTCTGATATCATACGTACGACTTGTAAAGGGTAAGCGCATCTATATTTTATTTGGAAACACTATATTTCACCTGGACAAGAAGCTGATACACGGGTCTTACGCCATTCCATTGCGTATCTTGAACCCAATAGAACAAATGTCCTTCCATTATTTGAAACCATACAAATAACTTGTAAACCTGTGATAGAAATTAGTGAATTTAGTGTTGAATAACTTTAATATGGTTTCTATTGCGACTACTTACTACTTGAGAGTATTTTTGATGAACGTTTGATCTAACAAACATAATTGTTATGTGTATATAAAAAAAAGGAACATTTTTTTTTTCTAATTTTTCTGCATGAACAATTGTATATTTTCTCTAGGTTAGGTAAAGTTAGAAAGCCGATGCAGGAGGCCTCTATGCAAATCACTAGGAAGCGATTACAGTATCGGCCATTAAATAAAATAAAGAAAACTGTAATCACTGACTAGAGGATGGTACTTCCGCCATTTTTGGTCCATTATTTTATATTTTTTCAAACATGATTGCTTAAAATTACCTAATTGTATTTTATCTTGGTCTGTATTGATTGATGTATGTTAATAACAATTTTGAAATAAACATAGTTTATTTGTAAAAGGGGAATATTTTAATCAACCAACAGGATTTCAAATAGAATAAAATATAACAACTTAACAAAATTTAAAAAATTGACCTAAATCTATAAAATAATACATACCTTGAACCCAAGACGCCTGAGACAACACAAGTCATAGCCGGAGCACAACAATAACAAATAAAGGTAAATATTTAATAAACGAGATGGATGTTTGTATCATTAACTTTATTATTTAAAATACATTAAATAATCAAAAACCCAGATACAAATATACCATATCAATATATATATATATATATATATATATATATATATATATATATATATATATATATATATATATATATATATATATCAAGAGTGAGATTAGGTTATGCCTATCTTATTGAACTTATGAATGTTTTATTGAGATTTTCGTTTTTACTATTGTTTTATGAAATGCTTTAAAAAGTCTAGCAGGAGCTTTTTAAAACTGGAAAGTCCTAAAAAGTATTTTTGTTGCTTTATTAGTTTTATAAGCGAATGTCCGTTTTTAGGTACAGATAGAATACAATGAGGAAATCCTTCATTTTAAATATGGCAGTGATGATAACCACATATCATGTAAAATAGTACCTCTCTACCAGATCTGTACCTAAAAGATATTCAAATTAATTATGATCAAAGTGCAAATAATTCTAAAATCTTTCGATTTTAGTATTGACGTATTTTGTGTACTAAAGACAGTGACAAGAGTGTACCAATGACAACATTGTGCCAATGACAGTAGATTTATTATTTATGATTGCGTTTACTGTGTTTAATCACATACTGTCAAATTTGTCAAATATGTCTACAGCTAATTCCTTTTAGGGTATATAAATGTAATATATATATATTGGAATATACTATGATAATGTTAAACAACTCTTGCCTCGCCTAAAGTAATTAATGATTAAACACAAAGTTTGTTTCTGATGGTCCAGTAGGTAGTATGCGCAATTGAAAATGGTTTTCTGATGATGACAAGTATCCATGCAAAGACAAATCTACAATAGGATTTATATTGGCGGTTAAATAGTCACTTCCATGAAATAATTTGAAAAATACAAAATGTGATATTTTATATGAAAAACATATCGAAGACAAATGTAATCATTTTATAGTACTATATATTCGATATTTACAATGTTATTTTCTATTAAATAACTTTCGGTAAATAGATTAGAATCCGTATAATAATCCTTTTTCACGTATATTTCATATATTTTAAGGCCCATCATTTATTACGACCCACCTTGCCCACTTTTAACAGTACTTTGGTGTGTGTTTGAAAATTAAAGAAATAGCAAGTGTAAATAAACAAATTAAACATACACTATATAATATTTAATTTCTAATATGGCAGTCTTCCCAACATGTTTGTAAAATCATTCTTTTAGAGAGTATAATAAAACAGAATAAAGATAAAACAGTTTAAAATTTAATTCTTTTAAAACTGATTAGTTTTGTAAAGTTTTTATGCCTGTCCCACTAATTATCATAATCTTAAATAAGATTTAAAAATGGTTTAATAAAATTCTTAATATACTCTTACGGACTTTGTCTTAAGTCTAATTATTCTTAAGATATTGTTTTAAAAATACTCTTAAGAATCGTTATAGGATTCTCCCTTTTACTCTTAAAGCAGATTTATAGCAGCCCTAAGGCTATCTCGCGGATTCAAAAGTTTTATTAGTATCTTAAAAAAGGGTTTTATGGTTGCCTTGTAGACTTTGATAAATCTAAAAATGTTACTTGGGAACCTAATCCAAACTACATAAAAAAAGAAAAATTAAAACAAAAATGAACAATTAAGCCGTTGTTGGTTGCTTCACAAAAAAAAATATTCATACCATTTCGATCACATATCATTTCGATCATTAGTACTTTCAAACAAATATGTTTTCGATTATGTGTTATTTCGATCATTTATAATTTTGATCATTAAATGTAATTACGATCTCTTCTCACTTTCAAACTTTTCTACTCTTGAAAAATTATCCAATAGTACTTTTTTTAACTTATTTTATCAAAACTCATCTGACATTCATGGGTTAAAAACTTCCACACAAGTTCGTGGTCCAAGCAGCAGACAAGATTGTGTAGGCCTTTTCTCTTAAAAACTTATCAGATCAACCTTTGATGCTGAATCCCAACCGTCTGTATACTGGGTTAATCGTCGAGCTTGTCATTGCCGATGTAGGTAACAGAAATGGTTTTGCTTAAAAACAGCATAAAAATAATTGTTTTCGCGTCATTATAAATTTTTTGGTATGTACCAAATAAAACTACAAATCAAAAGAATCTAATTCTCTTTTACCATTTTTCATTTAAGTATTGCAATTGAATCCTAAATATTGTAATATTAAAAAAATACTATTTATTCAGGGTTATTCAAAAGGTAAATACAAAAAAAAATCAATTCTAACTGATCAACAAAATACATTAGTTTTATTTTTTCAAGATTTTCAATAAAGATAACAAGGAATATAGAAATTAATGAAAAAGCTACATAAAAACAAAGTTAAATAATCAGTAACGAGTGTGGTATATAGGATTTGAGAAACGTTCGTACAAATTTGGCCACGGATACGGATATCGGATACAAAATTTTAAAAGTGCCCGAATACAACTTTCGGAAACATATAAAGCATCCGGATACTACCCAACTCTGCTAGTCATTATGGATAACTAGACACTAATTAAATTGTTTCCCTAGTATATTTATTAATAGCCCTAGTAAATGCAGTGATATACAAATAAAGAAAAAATATGTGTTATAAAGAGATATTTTTTCTCTGAATATGGTGTTAAAATTTTAGATACTGCATAGGAGCCAAAAAAAAACTTTTAAATCTAATTAAATCACATTTTATTTTTAGTGTACGGTTTTTCTTAGAGAGTCACATCCCGTCTACGGAAAAGGTATTTAAACGTTTTGTACAGGAATCGAAATTTAAAAAATACAGGAAGCGATTGGTGAAAGAACTGCTTGATTATAAAATGGTGAGAACGCACAATTCTATCAATAATATCCCCTACAGCATACGTTTACGAGAAGGACTTGATACCGAATATTTTAATACAAATTAAAATAGATGTCAGTGTAATTAGTGGATGAAAATTATATGTCTCTATGTTCTAATTTCGATTTTTTTTATTTCGAATTTTTTATTTTTGTCTTAAATTCGAGAAACGCTTATTTGGTGGTTCTAACCTTATCTGAATTAAGGCTCTATAGACAAACTAGTAGCATAAAGTAACGATTTTATTTTTGCGAAAAGCCAAAAATGGATGAAAAGTATTGGGACGTTGAATTTTAAGGTCAAAATATATTGGTGTTACTTAAGCAAAATTATGTAGAAGTTATTCATATTACTTGATTTTTAAAAACCATTTCATTTCGCGTTTTCAGTAGTGTTTGTTCAAACCGGGGCGGTTTCTTCATTGGTTTATTTCTGCAGTGAACACTTAGTTAAATTTCATTAAAACACATTATTTTAATATTACATAAATAACATAAAAATATAAATTTAATTTTAATATTTTTATTTTCATACGTGTTAATCTATATTTTTTTGTACATCATTGTCCTCTGGCTGATCGCGTCTCTGTGTCACAGTATACTAAAGTATACTGTGTCTGTGGCGCATTATGATAAGTGAGCCTAGCACACATACTTTGATTACTATACAGGGCAAGAGATAGGTCCGACACGCCCAACATAGGGCGCGGCCATTTTGAACCCTATGACACAGTTTATAGCTAAAGAATCAGATCGCTCACTCTGCGTCGGCACTTTTTATCTCAAAGTTCCAGTTTATACACTTTGCAACTCAGATAATACAATATATGACAACCGCCCATAATAAAACAGCAGTCTTTTGCGTATCCTGAATTTGTATCCCTGGAGTGGATGTTATTTTGGAACTTTCAACTGGTCCGAGGGAGATAACTGATTCTTTAGCAATAAACTGTGACTCCAAAAATAATATTTACTGACACTGACAGCAGCAAGCAAAATATCAGGTGCCTTTTAATCATCCTTTTCTGCTTCCGGAATTGTCGATTCAGTCGTTCTAACCTGTCAGATTAAAACAAGAAAACCGACAATTCCGAAGCAGAAACGGATGATTAAAAGGCACCTATTAAATATATTGCGCCAAGATGTTGGCAACACGTAATAAAGGTTCAAAATGGCGGAGTTTTCCTCCTTTTAAAAGGTACTCAGAAAGTTGCGCAGTGCGACCATTCTCCGTATAGTAAAAGAAAATCAAAGTATGTGGCCTAGCACGATTGAGACGATATGCCGAATGCGAAAGAGAAGACAACACACCAAGATCCTTCAAACTATCACATAACACATTAATTGGCATGCCGCTCACAAACAAGGTTGCCAAACCAGTGTTGCCAGTCTAGTACAATTCACAATTCACAAATAGCTACGTTTGTTTGATCTGTCTACATGAACAGCATAATTTTGTAAATAACTATAGGAATAGAGTAAGGGTTATATTTTAATATTTTATCATTCCATTTCTTTTATTTTGCATAATAATTATTTTTCTTTAATTATGTTTGACCATAAATATGAGACACGAGAAACTGGCTGAACGCTAGTTCTTTTTGGGTTGGCAACATTTTTCGTTACAAATTTGTCAGCTCTGTGATCGAACTGTCACTTTTTTTTATATAAAAATAACTTGTTTTTCGGCCCTTAGGAAGTATCCCTTTCCGATTTGATTTTTGGAAGAAGATGGCCGTTGGGATTTAGCTCCGCATTGTGTTAAATAGTGTTGAGTAATAATTAGTTTTCGAGCTTCTTGTTTTGTTAAAGGGCCCCGTGCCAATGTTTACTTTTATTTTGGATGAACCTGGTTTTTGACTAAAATCTGAGGCAAGTGAGACGCCGAAAGAAACTTTCTTCCACGTGTTGATCCCGGTAGCAAAGAAAACCCTCAAAAGAGGTAAGTCATTTCCTTTGCTGCTCCTGCATTTTCTTTGTCTGGCAAAACACTCATATTTTAATATATATATATATATATATATATATATATATATATATATATATATATATATATATATATATATATATATATATAGGGTTCTTCCCGTGGATGAACAAGAGAGTCACATGTGGCTATTCTCAGAAAGCTACAGAATGAAATTTTGTCTTGCCAATATGCTGGTCCGTTTTATTTACCCTGCAAAGCAGATATTTCCTTTTTATTTCAAATTTTCTTACGATGGTCCCGTGCCCCAAGCAGTCCTGTAACATGATGACCTTCGGTGTGCAGTGTGTAGCCTAACAGAGGGCTCGTTCTAGTGCCGCTGTCAGACCTAGCATTATATTTTGGTATTTATTATGTTTTCTTTAATTTTAACAATATGTTCGCAATGTCTATTTAGACACTACTTATATTTTGAAACGGGTGTTTCTTTATTTTCTGTATGATTTAGTTTTAAGAATACTTTTTGTTTCTTTTATTTACAACCAGTTTGTAAATATTATTTTGGGTACTCAAAACAATATACCTTAATTTTAACAAGACGTCTCGGATAGGTATAAATAAACCTACTTATTTTATTATTCATATATTTCTCCAACTATTGGCGAATGAATTGAGAGGATATTCTCAATTACACCATTTCTATTGACTATAAATTTAACTGTTTAAAAATAAATTAAGTATTTTCAATTATATTGTTTCTACCGTTTATAAATTTAAATGTTGATAAGTGGATTGAGAAAATGCTTCCAATTTTATTACTTTTAGAGTTTGATTCATCAAATAAATTGAGTAAATATTGTTAATATATAATTATTTCTCTTTTGAGCAAAGAACATTTGTATAATTTAGTGCTCATCGAACAAATTGAGAAAATATTGTTGATTTCATTTATTTTTCTATTAAATTCAATTTAAGGAGGTCCTTTCGCCACACCTCTCGCCTCAAATGTTAAAAAAAAGTTATTAGATTATGACTAAAATTGGTTTTTTCTAATAGTTGAAGTCCTTATTTATCTAATACTGAACTTTTAACTATACCTTACCTTGCAAATTTTTGAGAATTTTTTTTTTAAATGTGAGTATTTGTACAGTGCCTCACGAGAAAGTAAGTCCTCAACAACAATTCTCGAATTATACTATTATTTATTGATTAGATGGAGTAGAAAAAAACTAAAAATAAGGTTTTTGAAATATTTAGATTTTGTTTTATACAATAAAATATATATAGTAAACCGTGGAACTTATTGAGAAATTAATATTAAAAAATCACAAAAAATTTTCAAGTAACCTAGTTGAAAATTTTTTGTGATTTTTTAATAATAATTTCTCAATAAATTCCACGGTAACCTATATATTTTATTGTAAAAAACAAAACCTAAATATTTCAAAAACCTTATTTTTAGTTTTTTTCTACTCCATCTAATCAATAAATAATAGTAAAATTAATTATAATTCGAAAATTATTGTTGAAGTCTTACTTTCTCATAAGACACTGTACAAACACACACATTTAAAAAAAAAAATTCTCAAAAATTTGCACGGTAAGGTATATTTAAAAGTTCACTATTAGATAAATAAGGACATCTACTATTAGAAAAAAATTAATTTTAGTCATAATCTAATATTTTTTATTTAACATTGGTGGCGAAAGGACCTCCTTAAATTATGTATGACTTTTATTTCACATAATATCATGATCATCTCTACAAGTGTCTATTTGCAGATTCATGTATTTATGGTTTAATTATTTAAATTTTATTTACTATGGTTTCTGAATTTACCTTTAGATTTTAAAAACTTCTTTATCCAATAATACCAAATTTTTTATTCTATAAAAAATTCAGTGGCGTCCATCTATGGTTTAAATACGCTTTTTTGTATTTTATTTTAGTGTACCTAAAGTCAATTTAAAATAATTAAATTTCAAGACAACATATCCTTACTCACAGTTTTATGCCACCGACGGTAGAGCTGCTGTGCTGTATATAACCTAAACTCTTTGTCAAAAGAAAAAAATAGGTAACAAAGTTAAATATTATTGTTGAACTTTTTAAATTGTTTATTTACCTTATACATTTTTTTTTACTCTTTATACAGTATTATGTGAAGAGTAGTATAGGTTTACTTTGTCTGTCTGTCCGATGTCACGTTCTTAATCTGCACGATAAGTCAAAAACGAGAAATGATATGAACCTACAAATTTTACGTTAAAATCAAGCTTTATAAGGGGACAAAGCCTATTGATTTTTAACAAATCTAATTGAAAATAGGGGGTTAAGATGGGTTGAAATAAAAAAATCCTAAATTAAAAACGAAAAGCAATATCAATATGAAATTTTTAGTAAAAATAAAGCTTTATAAGAAGATAAAGCCTATTGATATTAAAAAAATATGAATATATTGGGTAGTTAAGGGGGTTAAAATATAAAAAAAAATCTCAACTGAAAAACTTTTAGCAAACATCAATCTTTAAAAGGAGAAGTAGCCCTTTCATTATAAAAAAAATCTAATTAAATATGGGGGATTTAAGGGGGGTTGAAATTAAAAAAAAAATCAAAAATGAAAAGCGATATCAACATGAAATTTTTAGTAAAAATTAGGTCTATAAGGAGATGAGGCCTATTGATTGTGAAAACAATCTGCTTAAAAATGGGGGTTAAGGGGGTCTGTTAAACTGCGAAGAGTATAATTTAAAATGCCAGGCATAATATATCTTTATTCTAGTTTGTGTCTGTGTAATATTATGTATTGTGATGGGACTGATCTTATAAAATAAACATTTAAAACATTTTAGTTCTTATTTTATTTACCAATAAAAGTATTTAAAAAATATATTTTTTATTTGACATCTGTGACAAATTTTGAAAATGATTAAACTTACAATAAAAACTTAAAAATGGTAGGTAAAGTTTCTTATAAAATTACATAAAAATCAATGTCAAGCTTTCTACATAACCTGATATATATTTTAAAATAATCTCAAATTATGAAGAAAAGTCAGTTTACTAACTAATAATCTTTATAGATGGTTTTCAACGTAATAAAAACAAAACAAATATCACACTAACTAAAATGTTCATTTAGTAATAGTTGTAGTGCTTGAAAACAGTATGATGTTGATAATAATAACTACACCTAATACAAACTCAAATAATAAAAAAAAACAGCATACTGACTCTTACACAAAGTTTTGATCCGAACTTACATATGATAAAATTTTTGGAGAAAGTGAACACCCATTTTAAATTATTACAAGCCGCCACTGGTTCAAACAATATATGAAAAAATATTGGGGTACTCTATCATTTAAGACTGCGCATGTTTGGACCCTTTATCTCC